TTCGAGGCAGTCATTTTCGGGCCCAGTTTTCGCATCAAGCGGAATTGTGAGGCGATTTCGAAGAGCTCATCTGTTCAGAAACAGACGGCGTTGCAGCAGTGCTTTCGTTTCCTGTTGAGCACCGTCGCCATCGCTGATCGGAGCCTGGCCAGCTTGGCCAACACCTCCTCTGGCCGTGGTGACGACAAGACGTCATCAACAAGGCGATGGGACAGCACTCGCACGAAGGGGCGACTCGAGTAGACTCAAGCCCGAGTAAGCCCAATCCCGGACTCCTCCATACCACGGCGACCCTGAGTCAGGCATACAGACATACAAACATGCATCTATACAGACAAGCAGACATGCATGCATACATAAATCCATACAGACATACTAACATATACATACAGGCATACACACATAGATCCATACGGCCATACAACCATACAGACAGACAGACATTGAGACAACAGAAATACATCCATACAGACATACCAGTATACATATATACAGTCATATAGACGTACAGTCATAAAGCATACAGTCATGCAGACAAACAGCCATACAAACATACAGACAGCAGAAGTACATCCATACAGAAATATAGGCATGCATTCATACAAACATAGCTACACACAGCCATGCAAACCCACAGACATACAGACATATCCATACAGACGTACAGCCATACAAGCACATCTACATACAGAAGGACAGGCAGCTTCGGCTACAGTCGTGGTGCCAGTTGCTGTGCTTCATTGACCCGATTGCCACGAGGACACGGTAGAGCGGGCGAGGCAAGTGGAAGCATGAAAATTTGCCGTCCTGTCTTATTTGCATCATCTGGGTTGAGTGATAATTGTGTGCATTCACCTGCGAGACGGTCCATTAGTCAGGCGCTCCAGGCTCGCCGACAGACGTACAAACGTGAAAAATGGCATACAGGATCTCTGCAATGATGCTCTCGACTGGGTTGGCCTTTCACTAGGTCCCTCTCCGGTCCGGCCCTTTATCGGGGAAGCACACTTTTCTAAACATACACAGCTTCTCCAGCCAACGCCATCCAGTTTGAGCTGTCTGCCACAACTGATGATGCGCTAAATGTTGCTTAGCCGTTGTCACAGGGAGGGTGCGTCCTGGTAGCAGGCTCCTCTTCAAGGGCCAACCAGGCCTGTGCGCTGTGATGCCCTAAGACGCAACGCGACATGTGCCGCCGTGACAATTAGACTGGAGGGTCAGCCACAAGGTCTATGCTCAAGTGCATACACACCCGCAAAGTCAGACATCCATCCATAAACTGGCGTATTCACACAACAACTGTTAACTCAGGCCCGTTTCGACAAGTTGGTATTGCTTGAATGTTGCCTGGCTTGTACGGAATAATGTGTACATATATATACATGTTCGTGTATATATATATATATGTGTGTGTGTGTGTGTGTGTGCATGTGTGAATGCAAGCGTGCAAAGTGATTAGCTCGACACGCAGGTCTTGAGCTCACGCCCTGTGTGCTGCTGTTTGGGCCGCTCTGCCTCGGGCTAGAGAAGACGTCCCCCAAAGGAGTTCATATAAATAGGCTCAGGCCTGAGCCCGTAATGCCACTAAGTCAAGCCGAGCCTGCCTGAGTCTTCGTCGGAGTGTCTTGTGCGTCCTGCCCACGTAGAGCGTCTTGAGGCAGCTCTGGAAGCCGGCATCTTCACGGAGAGACCGACGACCGGCCTCTTCTGCCCCACGCCTGCCCGAGGCCATGAGAGGAGGGCAAGCGATCGCCAGGACGAGGGTAAGTCATGCCGTTTTCATACAGTTTCAGGCCTCCCGTCTAGCCGTGCATCAGCATCATCTGTAAGAGTATACTTCTCTCGCCCTCAGGCTCCATGGTGAATAGGCCCAGCTGACCTTCCACCAGAGACTAGGCCGTCTTACGGCAGCCACTCGAGTCAGGAGCCTGTTGTGGCGTCTTCCCATATCAGGTGGAAC